GACCAATTAGTCTTTGCAGTGTTGTTTATAAAGTAATCTCCAAACTGCTAGCTACCAGACTTCAAACTTGCTTGGACCCTTGCATTAAATCCTGTCAATCTGCTTTTATCAAGGAAGACAGTTGTTAGACAATGTAATTATTGCCCAAGAAGTATTCCACTTTGTCAATAGGCACATGACTGGATCAAACTACTTCATGGCATTGAAACTTGACCTTATGAAGGCTTTTGACAGAATTGAGTGGAGGAGTCTTCAGGGGATAATACTGAAAATGGGATTCGCCTCTCTCCTTTTGTTAAGCTGATCGTGGAATGTTTCTCCATAACTTCTCTTGCTTTTAATATCAATGGCTTAATCAATAAGGCTATTCTTCCCACAAGGGGCATCAGACAAGGTGACCCCTTGTCACCTTATATCTTCCTTATTGTGGCTAAGCTCCTGTCCTCTATGATCACCTTATATCTTCCTTATTGTGGCTAAGCTCCTGTCCGCTATGATTACCAATGCTATCAGTGAAGGGTCTATGGCTGGTTTGAGGATCTCTAAGGATGGACCTCTTCTCTCTCATCTGCTTTTTGTTGATGATGCACTTCTTTTCTGTAGAGCTGGAGTGGATCAAGTTCAGCACCTTTTGCGAATCCTTGAGCAGTTCAGGCTTTATACTAGGCAAAAGGTGAAATTTGCCAAGTCTTCTCAGCAAGAACACTCCTTCTGACTTGCAGTTGAGAATCTGTGCTCTACTTCTTGGGATTTGCACTCATCAGTCCATCAGATATCTTGGTTTGCCTCTTGGCATAGGCAAATCAAAAAAGAAAGCATTTGATTATGTCCTCAACTCTGTTAGAGCAAGACTGAATAGCTGAAAGTCTAAACTTCTCTCTCTTGCTGGTAGAGAAGTTCTCATAAAGGCTGTTTTATCTGCCATTCCTTTATTCACTGGCTTGTTTCAAACTTCATGTCTCTATTGCTAAAGAAATCTTCAAGCTCTGTGTTGCTTTTTTGTGGAGCAAAGGTGAAAATCAAGACAGAGGGATTCACTAGAAATCTTGGAATAATCTGACCTTGGCCAAGGATAAAGGTGGTCTGGGTTTTCTTGATGTGAGGTAATGAATCTCTCATTTGTAAGCAGCTTTGGAGAATCACTTCTCAACCGCAGTTGCTTGTTATTCAAGTTCTCAAATGTAGATATTACCCCTCATCATCTATCTTTGGTGCCACTAAATCCCATAACTACTCTTGGCTTTGGAGCTGCTGGTTATAGGTGCTCCCCACTTTTGCTAAAGGATTCAGAATTCATATTGGAAATGGGAATTCTACCAGGATTTCAAATATAAACTGAATCCCTTCATTAAAATCTCTCAGACCTCATATGTTGGATCTTGTTGTGGGTCACTTGATTTGGGTGAAAGACCTTCTATCTAGCAATGGCAGGAGTTGGAATGAATGGTTAGTTTCTCAGGTCTTTAATACTGAGGAATGTATGGCTATTCTTCAAATCAACTCTTTGAACCCAAACAGGGAGGACATGATGTTTTGGGGTTTTGACAGTAAGGGCCTTTTCTCTGTGACTTCATCATACTCTTACCTCTCTAATCCTAAGCTGCAGGGGATAGATTTATCACAAAGCAGCACGAATTATAGATCTATCTCTAATGCAAGAAGGGGAACATGGAAACTGAAAGTGCACCAAAAGCTGAAGCACTTTATATGGAAATGTTGCTCTAACACTCTTCCAGTAAAGGCAAATCTTCTGAAGAAGGGAATTCAGCTGGATCATATATGCCAAACATGTGGTGAGGACACTGAAACAGTTTGCCATGTTTTTTTTCACTGCAAAAGAGCTAAAGTTGTGTGGAAGTAAGTCCTGTGACCTGGGATGGATGTTGTTTTGCTGAGGATAATTTCAGTACTTGGTGGTGGCAAGTGTGCTATATTGGTAAATCTGAGGTAGCCGAGGCCCGCATACGACTCTCCACTTATCTCTTATGGTAGCTGTGGAAGTAACGAAATATTTGGCTATTCCAAACAAATCTCATGCATGTTCAAGCTCTAATTAAGTCTGCTATAAAGGATTGGGAGGAATTCTCAGCTTCCTCCTATTAGCTTCTCCTTGGTTGGGTCTTTGTGTTCTCTTTTGCTTTAGTTTGTTGTTTTTTCTGTTCTTGTTTTTCCTTCTGTTTCTATGTAGTTTGAGCTTGAGGCTAGATTTCTGTATTAGGCTTTGGCAGTGATATGGGAATGTTGGCTTTGATTAGTTTGTATTTTAGTGCATTGTACCCGTCTGTGGGTTATAGCGTGTCTTCCCAATTTTCTTTTTCGGCTGTGGGCCTTGTTTGTATCTGAACATTGTGTTTTCCTTTCAAGTAGTTATATATTACCTTTTTCGTTCCAAAAAAAAAAAATAAAATTAACATGACATGTGTACGTGAAGTGACGTTTTTCAGCAGGACACATGGAACTCCAACAATTATTGTCCTTATTTTGATCAATTTTAAAAATATGTTACTGCTATTGATCATTTTGTTCCAAATGAACTAATTTTGAAACATTCATGTAGTCGTAGTCTATTTTTGAATTATTGAGTAGCGAAATAGCTTAATACAACATCAAACTATATCTTCTAAAAAAAAGTCATGAATCATAATGTTAATTATTAATTAGTTGGAAGTTATTTTCAATTTATTAAAACGTAATAGCATCAAACTATGAAATGATAAAAACAATCACAACAGTGAATTTGTATGCACGACTAATATATAGGCACAACCATTTGATGTTGTTCATATATAATTACTCAATAGGCACGATTTCAATGAACGTTGTACCAGTCTTGTCGTTCCTACTAAGTGTTGTGTACAAAGTATTTTTGTTTTACCGAGCACCAAATTAAATGATTCGTTTCCCGAGTCGTTCTCTTGAGGAAGACTATTCGGAATTTAGAATTGATATTGATAGCACATAAAAACAAAATAAATCCTAAACATTCTAATCAAGATAGATTGATAATGATTCATTATTAACTATAAATAATAAAAAACAACTAAAATGGTAAATGAAGAAAATGCGAAAGATACTAGGGAATCGGGAATAAATGTTTTAAATCGAAATGCAATTATCGACTTGTGATTGTTCGGTTAAAGAATTCGAGTCACCTACACGTTTAGAGATTTATCCTCAATACCTTTTGGATTATGAGAATAAATATAAACGGTAAATTAACGAGTTGTTTAACACATAGACAATACCTTTCGGATTATGTCTATTTGTATGAGTCTCGATCGAGTGACCTCTTCCCTTTCGGTTCAAGAGTCAATTAAAATAGACTATAGGATTTTTAGTCGTCTAGTCTATTCGGATAGTGATCGTCACAATAGAACACATCATATTCAATTTGAAAACAAGTTTAACATTGAAGTGTCACTCTTCAGTACTTAGAAATCAATTGCAAGGTTGAATTGTCACTTTTCAACAATATGTCATTCCAAAGTAAAAATCAAAAACCGAATTTAGAATTAACTCATACAAAGTGAACAATCGACGAGTACGATAATCACATACGAAATCAAATATTTATCCCTATCCCTAGCAAATGATTTAGCTATTCATATAAAAAAAAAATAAACTCAACATAAGATTCATTGCAAATTATCATTACAAGAAAAACAACTTACAAGTAATCCAAGTCGAGAATAAAGTTGATACAAACGCCAAACCGAAAACAAATCCACGCCACACCGAAACAAGTACAAGCCTTGGAGAACACCTCCAAAATTCACAACCAAAAGAGAAACTAATCTAAGACAACATATAAGAATGATGGTAGTGGTGAGGATGATAATATTTTGGATTGTGAGGGATAGATGTTGGTTAGATAATGGAGCTATTTATACATATATCATCAACCATAATCCACCAACATCAACCACAATTTACCAACAATAACCACAATTCAACTAAAAATCAACCACAATTCATCTACCAAAGAAAGAATGGAAGAAAAGGTGAAAGAAGATAGGAAATTTGAGATAAAAGATGGAATTTTCGGACCAAAACCGAAAGTGATTTTTCCGCGCGCATTCGCGCACGTCTCGGGCAGCTCTGCTTCTCGGGCTTGTTTTGGGCTCGTCCAAACTCGGAATTGAATTCCGTTTTTTCCTACGCGTAGCTAATGAACCCCTCTATCCAATGATGCTTGCAAACCACACTTTTGCCTAGAGTAAAAATTATGTGGAATTTTCAACCTTTAAAGGGTCGGTAACTTGCGCGGCTTCGCGTTTTTGTTCCGTCCGGATTCATCCAAACTCGAAATCAACTTTCGTTTTTTTTTCTATGTGTAGCCAACGAGTCCATCTACATAACTATGATTGCCCGGTCTATAATCAACTCCTCACGAGACTTCCGACATGCACACCAAAAACAAAGAAAAACCGGAAAAACACACGAAAAACACAAAGAAAACCAAAATAGAACAAAACACATAATACAACACAAAACGGACTAAAAACTCACGAAATAACCTAAAATGAAGAAAATGAGGGAAAAAGAAGAACAAAAATATAGCAAAAAATACAACAAAAATGGTTACAACACTAAGCATATTTCTTGTAGCGACAAAATATAACGGTTAATTTTCATATTTAGGAAAAAAAAATGAGTGCCAAGTGATTGTAGATGTTTTCTTTCTAAACCTGGGATTAGGTCAAGAGCCACAAATGGCGGGTCAATTGTAAGAACGAATGCCCACAAATTTCTCACATCAATGTTGGAATATGTCCAAAAAAATCAATGGCCCATCCTCAACATCTAAACTTCAGGAGAAAAACACAACATATTTTTTCCACCACCAACAAGGCCAAAAAATTCCACACTCAACCATCATATATATATATATATCCATTTTCTGCATCCACGAACTCACAAAAATAAAAATAAAAAATAAAAACACTTAAATAAAAAAAAAGATGGCACATATGAACTCTAAAGATCGCAACGTAGAAAACATGGTAAGGAGGAGCAACAGCGGTGGCTCGTTCAAGTTCAACGTGGCGGCGCCAGAATTTGTGCCGACTTTGACTCCGGCACCAGCACAGGCCCACGTGCCAATAACGGGCTTTTTTTATCCATGTTTTCAGCCCATTGATGGCACCACCGGAAGTTGGATTTACGTGACGGATCAAGAAATAGCGATGCCGTTGGTCCACCCCAAGCCCAATAATGATGACAAAGTAGGCTCGCCGCAAAACAAACAGCCACCACCTAAGGAAATCGCCATTTCTGAAGAGATTAAGCGCAAGATAATCAAACAGGTATTATATATATAGATGTGTATTTTTTTTTTCTTTTTTTTTTTTTTT